ATATATATATATATATATATATATATATATATGCGTTTATAAATTCGACCAAAAACGGAAAATGTATGTAAATAAACGTGAATATATTAGCAGAATAACTTTCACGTTACTTTGGAAATCTAAATATCAAAAGAATGATATTCATCGCAAACGGTGGGAATGTTTAGTTCAGTAAGCAAATCATTAGGTTGGAACCGTAATATTTCTTATCGCTGTTGCTTCAATGAATATTAGTTTATCTTCAAATTTGAAGAAAAATGTGATTGATCCTAATTACACATATGCAGGCTGTTTTCACGAAAACATGAAAAGCTTGATTGTACTGCACTACCTTTAATAATTAAATACATAATGATTATTTGATCATCTAGCATTGCATTAGTGTCTTTTTTCACCCTGTTGTACGAATTCCAAAATCACAAATGGTTTTACCTCACGCTTTATTTGCGGTTATACGAAACGAAGGTCACACAAGTATAGTTGTATTTATGCCATGGAGATTATTGTGCCTATAAACGTACGTATTTTAGATGAGAAAGCGAAGTGCGTTGGAAGCACTTTGTGAAAGGAAAATCATATATGATCTTATAATGGTACCTAATTCAACACCGCCAAGTGGTTTAATGGAAATAATTAATTGAAGGCAATATGCATAGAAGCGGAGTATTCCTCTCGGAATCTACTATCGCATACTATTGAATGTGTCAAAATTGTAGTTGCCATGATTTATGATTTGGCTAGTTACTTATACAATTGTCATCGCTGTTTATTTACGCAGACCACAGGGATGAACTTGTGGGACACTCCACCAATGACCAAATAGAAATCCTGCTATAGAATATTACTCAGAAATATTTAGCTATTAATGATCACACGAATCATGCTAGAGTTATCTGATAACTAATCGCTTTGTCAAAAACACACTTTGCTATCAATATACGTACCGAATAAACGTATTCCGTGCTACACGTCCGTTTCCCTTATAGCTGGGCAATAGCTCAGCTTGTTCTGGGAGTCTAGCTAGATGTTTTAGAATCTGCCATAGAGATTTCCGAGTCAGTCAGGCTTTAATAGTGTAGCAATCCGCTACAAACTACTGATTTATTGTGAGAACTGTGTATCTCAATAGTGAGTGCTTCAATCCAAGTTGTGAGACAAATTTCATCTATTTGAGTGCCCATGGTATTGTATTGAGGAGAATTAGGAAATATGGAACGCAGTTGGAGCAATCTACGGAAATGAAGGGTCCGACAATAATGTGCGAATATCCAAATGGTGAGTTCCATTTCATTCTTATATGAATACCATCGTAAAATATGAAGCATATGCTGTGTTCAACAAGCATTTGTTTGACTAAGGATAGAGAGAGTCACTCTTCAAACTGGATGTGCACCAAACTAGCTACAAAATCGGCACTACCGTTCAAGTGTAAATGGGTGTTAAGTGTCAAAGCGGAGTGAGTGAATGGATGCCCATCTTCTACTGAGAATTTTGTGTATGAGTTGAATGGGAACGGAGGAACATACCATTGAGACAGGGCGAAAATAACTGGCTTTGTAAACATAAAGAGATGGAAAGGTGAGATAATTAGCTTAGCATGATTTCAATTTTTAAACTGAGCGAAGAAAGAGAACCTTTATTCTAATGCTTTCAATCTTACTATAAAGTGGTCCTGAGTTGAGAAAATTTGTATGATGAGAAATAATTATAATGTTAACCAAAAAATGATATTGGTAATAAATAGGATTGGTTAATTATGAAATCTGTTTGAATGACGGTTTATTGTGAAATTATAATGCTCAAATGAATAGTTGTTATTGTATCTCGCTTTTGTTTGTTTAAGTGTAATGAAACCTGGCACCATGTTTGACCTATAGTTCAGGATCATTCCAGCCACAGATCAGTGCTCCATATGTCTTGAAGAAATAAAAGCCTCAATCGAAATGCTAGGTGGATGTAAAAACACCTTCTGCTACGATTGCATCAAGAAGTGGTCTGAAGCTAAATAAACCTGTCCTATTGACCGTACATCATTCGACTCAATCAATATACTACACGAAATTGGTGGTGCTGTTGTGGAAGAGTTTTGTTTTGTTTCACGCTATTAAATGCCACTACTTTTAGGAAAAGCTAGAATCATAAAGGTTGAATCGACTAAAATTTTGTTACAACTACGACGACAGAAATATCGCTTTGTCTTATTCCTTCTACAAGTGTGTCGAAATAATATTATCGTCTTTTAGAATGTCGACAGATGTTTCAATGTCGACGCTGAGGGCTGCAATTTCATACCGGCTGACTAATTGAATTTTATGGTAGTACTCTGCTCTCCATTTGTACAACAACTGAATTGAGAGTACTCAGTCGCTCAAGGAGATCTTACTATGCTCATCAAGTCATGCGCGAATGAGACAGTGAAGATTTACTTTATACACTTACCTTTTGCGTCCTTTTATTTCCCCCTTTACCTACGCGTATTGTCACGAAAGACGAAGTCACTTTGTAAGTGGTATAAACGTGGAAAATTTGAATGATTTCTCATCCCTATTGCTTCTATTACCGTTTTTCATAGTATTCTTTTTGCTATCATGATTATTATATTAAGATAAATAAAGCTCACCACATACTATAATTCTCCTATACGAAATTCAGGATATCGAGGCCTCTTATCATGGAAACCATGAGTGTAGAACAAGTTAGAAATCATGTTTGGGGTTCCGTTGTATATTGTCATGCAGTTTCATGGTATGAAGGTCACTCTAGCTGATGGTGCTATTGACGCCAAGAAGCCAATATCTTCAAAACCTCCCATGTTTAGGATTCTGCTTGCGATATTAATCATGACGTTCACCGTTTCAGACGAATGGAAAAGTTAATAATAACAAGTTTTCGTCGATTGTTTAAGTGGATAGTGAATGGAAATTCTGAATAATTGAATAATTAGAAGTAAGCGTTATTGAATAATTTTTTCTTGTTCCTATTTGCGAGCAATCCATTTTTTGCCAGTCATAGTGCGAAAATTCAATTATTTTACATTATTTTGTTGGGTGCGTCACTTTCCAGCGAACTATATCCAATTATTTATCAATGGGATTGTTTTCTAACAACCGTAATAGCATTTTTTATGAATTCTTGCATTAATAAATGCATTTGTAAATGAATATATATATATATATATATATATATATATACATTTAATTACTTACCTACACGTGCACTTATGCCTATATGCCAAATGAATGATTTGCGAATGTCATGTGGTTACACCGGCAACAAATATATATATATATATATATATGTGTGTGTGTGTGTGTGTGTGTTTGTGCGTTAAGTTCTTTGTGTTCCAAAGCTTTATTGACCATTCTGGTGTTCCAAACCCATCGACACACTGGCTTATTTCTGGCCAAAACAACTTTTGGGAAATGGAAAGGGCTTGGTAAAACCAGCGCATGCGGATTCTCTATCACCAAGTAAACGTTGAATTGATTTACCATTTTCGAATGTCCCAATTGAAAGAAGAGTTTAATCTATCTGAAGCAGCCATTTCATGTCAAATTATTTCATTTTCTATGAGATGGTGAATGGCCTTTCTAATTTACTATATATATATTAGCTTGTACCTTGACCGTTTATGAAAGACAACAAATTAAAACTTTTAAACTCAGCTCAATACTCATTGCTAAAACTCTAAAGAATACTCCATTTAACTCTTGATATGAAGGTTTGTTTCAGTTTGCTAATTTTATTATAGGATAAAACCCTAATTGTACGGTTGCTGATCATTTGAGCAATAAATATTTTAAAAATGGATTTTGGTTTCTTTAATTTGTTTCATTTAATATATAATGAGTCTATTGTTTTTGTTTTCGTGTTAATTTACTATAGTCAATGTCATTCACGGTTTTACCTCACTGTTTATTTGCGCTTTTATAAAATTAAGGTCGTTCAATGTTATCTAAATTTTCCTATGGAGTATGCAGTTCCAATACATAAGTTTATTTTTAGATTTGAAAGTGAATATGATCCATTTTGGAATAGGCACATGGCCAATGATCTTATATTAGTTAATAAATCAATGATACTTAATGGCATATCGGTTCTAAATGCATCCAATCGTAGTGAAGGAAACTCGTCAGCTTTTGTTTCAAATGATTTTATTTTCTTGCAATCGAAGGGTGCTCAAGCATTTGCAGGAGTAATGGCCTTTACCTCAATAATCATCACCTGTCACCAGGCACTTTGTTTTTAGTTTCTAATTCTAGCTATTTTCAGATATACCTTCATCTTGTTAATTACACTACCCCTCGTGAGCAGCGATGGATTGTCCGAATTCTCTTTCTCGTTCCTTTATATGCTTTTCAATCCTGGTTTAGTCTAATGTTTCTTCGTCACCAGGATTCCTATATATACTTGGATACCATACGCGATTGTTATGAAGGTAAGTGTTTTGTCACTCATTTTGAAGTGCAAATTTGTTGTTCAAAAGAAGAGACTTTATTTTTACATTTATTTTTAATGTATGAAATTAGTTGATTACATTTTTTGAAAAACCTATGCGTTAGCTTTCTTTAGGCTGTCTCCTTCCACTTGTTAGAATTATTGATCGTGTCGTATAGAATTGCTGTGGGTTAGCAAATCTTAACTAAAATGTGTCCTTTTGTTCAATCTTGACTGCTTCCAATGCTCTGTTTTTGATTGGCTAGTTATAAATCTTGGCGAGACGACAAATCAATCGACCAATCGGATTGCACGCTCACTTTACGTTGGGGCAAATTTGCCCTTGAAAGGCATATGGGTTAATCCTCTCAAAATGAATTTAATCTATGACCATATTTTTTTCTTTCTAAGCCTTCGTAATCTACAGTTTTCTGAGCTTATGCTATGAGTACCTTGGCGGAGAAAGTTGTATAATGGCTGAAATTCGCGGTAAAGAAATTCCGTAAGTGTTGTTTAATTCTCAATTTTAAATGTTGTTTATTGGGTGGCTGACAAAATACAATATCTATATTTTAAATAAAATATAGATTATTGCCATTCTGACATGGAATGCATAGCTGCAGGTTGGGTGAAATTGTTTGTGCAAACCAGATGTAAATAGCCTGTCTTGTGGCAGTACGCTGGCTGTCCAAAAAATATAAAAAAAATTTGGTCGAGAATTGAGTGTTTTACTTTGTGCAACATCCAAACACAGATAATCGGATGGTTTATGCTGTTATTTATCATTTGCCGTCAAAATCGATATCTTAACAGTTTCTTCTATGTCGCAAGTTTTATTTTCTTTTGAAAAATTTAAATATTTATTTCCTGACCTCCCATTGTTTAGACTCCACAAGCTTTTAGAACAGTGTTTTGGCTCAGAGTCTTCGTTTTACGAGGTGCAGATAATTAACTGATCAAATCTCTACATATATGGGTAACATCATAAAATCACCGTTATGCGCTCTTGTAAAATTTAATTGTCTTGTAGATAGGTCAATGCCTGCTGCGTTGGGGTTTCCACCGATGACACTTTGACTTATCTCTCACAAATTTTTTGCTTATTTGGCGTAGCAGCGTTTGGTCAATTTGCTTTCTAGGAATGTCAAATATTGTTATGACGCTATGTAGCAAATTGTCACCTTCAACAATGACATGAGAATCATCACAAGTGGTCTTTAAGATATCGTAGGAAAATCACCGGCTTCTCTCCTTCAGAATCATGTATAGCAGGATATCATCGTGAATGAATATAGTGATGATTTTAGGCAGACTTAACAGCAATAACTCTTCACTCTCCGAGAAATAGCGTTTATACCGTTGGAGAGATAAATATGTTTATTGTCTTCTGAATAAATTGGTTTGCCTTGCTTAGGTACTCTTGGTTTTTCTGCACCTTCTGTTTTTCTGGCCAAGTCTTCACTATGGGCTTCCTCAGATTCTTCAAACAGGTTCGTAATTCTCTATGGGCAATTTCTTTTACTTATGTGTATTGAGTAGGCGATGTTAATTTGAAGTCGTGTTTTAGGCAACTCTGCAATTCTGTCTTGTGAAACCTCTGATGGCCATCGCAATCATAATAATGCAGGCTCTCGGTGTTTACAAGCATGGAATTTGGAGGCAAAACAATTAGCCTGCCTTATTTATCACTTGATGAATGAAAATTGAATTTTGTTTCTTATTTTTTAATTTAGTGTTTCGAATGGATACTTCTATACAACGATAATCTACAACATATCTGCGTTTCTGGCTTTCTATGCTCTGGTTCTCTTTTATCTTGCCACCAGTTCTATTCTGAGACCGTTCGATCCAATTATCAAATTTGCGGTTGTCAAGTCTATCGTGTTTCTGAGCTTTTGGCAGGGTTAGTTGAAAGGCTTATTTCCGAGACGTCTGTATTTGAAGCTACCGGAATGACCCTTGAATAAGTCACTGAATAAGTCAATAGAAACTAAAATTTCCAATTGTTAATGATACTGTTCAGTAGCTCATTCTGTTGTGTGTGGAATGAAGCAATCAACGTAACGTTGGTTCAAGACGTTGGGAATAAATTGCATAAGATGAAGCATTTTCCACTAGTATTTTATTTCAAATATCTTTCTAAATTAACCTTTTAAGATAAGAACTTGAAAGCTATAGATTGTGAGTCAATAGATTAGTAGTTTAGGATGAAGAAGCCATCTTAGAATACCACTCTATTCCTTTTGTTGTTACAATCTTAAAGATATTGTACAGGGATTTGCATTCTGCGAAAAAGTTGGAGAAGACTTCCTTGTCCTTCTTCATATGGCTGAGATGTCGAAGAAGCCCGAAAAATTGGAATGAACTCATAAGTATATCAACATTTTAATGGCCTTTTGACCATATGGTACTCTTTCAGAATAAGCTCTATTGGTATTAGTCGCGTAAGTGAATGCTCAATTGTCGTATGAGGCATGTTCAATAAGCCAATAGCTTTCGATGGTACCATCAAAACCCATATCTTCGGTGGTAGCAGTCCACTGTGGCACACTCGTGAGTGCAGTTGGGTGTATTTTTCCTTTAAGCTAAAATAAGAATGGCTCAAATTCCTGGAATATCTGATCACACTGTACTATCTATACTATCTTTCCTACTGTTTATAATTAAGCGATAAGTTTATATCATGCCTTTTCTGTCACTTAGGTGTGATTTTGGCAATTCTCGAAAAGGCGGCAATTCTACCTGCTTTGCCTCACAGTAATGCTGGAACAGTAGCAGCAGGCATTCAAAACTTCCTCATCTGCATTGAAATGGTTGCTGCGGCTATCGCACTTCGCTACGCCTTCCCGTACAAACTCTACGCTATTGGCGTGAATACTG